GTTATTAAGTAAATGCTAGAAAATGGGAAATACAGAAGAAGGAGAATATTCACTAAATAATGCTACATTCTCCCTAGTCAGAAAGAACTACTCATCATCTGAAAGTATAGAAGCAAAATTATATGCTTGGAACTTAATCAGTGAGTGGTTATAATGTACATCTTTGTAGCTTTCCCATAAACAAATAACAATTGAGCCCTTTTTAAATTAAAGGAGGTTGATGCTTTGAAATTAAGCAAGGCTGTGATGCTTTGTGGTTTTATTCAGGCATTTTGGAAAGATTAAATAGTAAGCACAGAAGGGAAATATGAGATCTGAATTTGCATTTTAAAACATCCTTTGCTTTTTATTGCTAGCTAAAATCTGTTCAGTAGCTGATATATTTCAGCAGCACGAGGAGATCTAGTATCATTTGAGCTTACAAAACTCTAATCAGGAATACAGTCACCTTAAGAACTGTCCATTACCTGTGATTAGTATACAAGGATTTCATTTTCTACACCGTTACCACTTCATTGGCAGCTATAAATATATAAAAAGCTAGATGTGTTTTGAACAGTTTCAGTAAAAGACAAATTGCAGGGCTTTGTAACCTTTCAGTGGGAGTATATGTTGTAGCTCATAATAACAGGATAAACCCCCCAGTTTGGACACTTTACAGGCCAGGATATTTGTTCTATTAGATTAATATTTTAGTATTTCTCGATGTTTCAAAGGGAAATTGCAGAAATTTTTTAAATCTGTTGACATATCAAGAAATAACAAGACAAACATTCATTATGATTATCCTGATAGAAATCATAGTAAGTCCTTCAGGAGCTTTGAAACAGAATACCAAAAATTTAGAATAATTTAGAAAAATATTTAATTTAGATCAAAACCAAAGAAACTTTAAGATCTTCAAAATTTTACAAAGCTTTAAAATGCATTAGCAGAATAAAATCATTTTTAAAATTCAGTGGTACTTCTTCCTCATAATCACTAGCTTAGCATTTTTAATATATTTATCTGAGGATGGAATTTTCTTCAGTTGATACTCTGCTCTTATTTTCTTTGATGGGCAGATTCTTATTGAAGTAATGCATTTTACCCATCACTTCTTTGGTGTGATAGTGACTGAACACCTACGATGAGCTTAAAAGAAAATTCTGTATTTTTATTTGCTTGTTTTTCTTGTTGTTCCATCATCACTTGTTAAATGAATTTAATTTTATTTTAGGATTGAATTTACCTTGCATGCATCTGTTTGTTGGAACCAAATCTTGTCTTCAATCAAAACCTGGAAATAATATTTTAAATACCTTTGAATATTCTGCTTATACAATAATTTTTAATCATAAACCAAAACCTGCTTCATATTTTTGAAAGTGCTTTGTAAAGTAAAAAAAGCCTTTCAATGCACTTCACATAGTCATTCTCCTCATAGTTAATCAGTGCTGAAAAACAGCCCATAACTGTGATCAACTTATCTTAAAAGTATTTTTTGTGCCAGTAGGCTTTTCAGAAGTGATTTTTCTTAAGCTCTAGGTACTTAATCTATGTATAGTAGGTCAGAATGGAATAAACTAGAAATAATGAAGATTTTTTTTAAATTATTGAAGTATATGAGTCATATTGCTAAATTTGGAAGCTGTCAAGAACGTGAGCCATTCCTACCAATTGGTACACAGCTGAAAGGATTCATATCAGCTCTCCTGCAGTCAGCAGGCATTCAAAAAGATGGTTTGCAGGGAGGAGATAACCCTTGGGGAAGACAAAAAAGGTGATTTTACATTGCTTTACTGCTTTGCTATGACTTGGAAGGTTATATGATTCGCCATCATATTCCCTTGACAACTGCAGCACTAACAATGAAGGTTATGAATAGATTGTGTCAGTGCAGCTGTGCTCTGCAAAGGCTTTCCAGAGGGACTATGCGTAGGGTTGTTGCTGGTGGTTTCTTAGTCACAGTTTGTGTTTTAGAACCTCCTAATCCTTATGCTTTGGATCTGGATTACTCTGTGGGTGAAATCCTTCAAACCAAGCCCACACATAGCTGATTTTGATGAGGATTAGTGCATAAAGATGAAATTAGTTACTCCATGTATTAATTTTCAGTCTAGCTTCACAGTGATTTCTCTGAAGAGAGCTGACAAGGGTGTAATTAATAGTGAAATCCTACTCTCCACAGCAGAGGTGTTTCTTCAATGTTGTGAACTTCTGCTTGTATGAGGGAATACTTAAATTTGGCTTAATTTGTATGATGATTATAGATTAAAAATACCACCTTTATTTTTATTTGCTTTGATGGATTACCGAATTCCTATGAATGCATACAACACCACAAATCTTTATCAGAAAACAATGAAATCTGTTAATCTTCACCTCTGACCATAAATAGGGAACTTCAAAAGCAATTTCTAACTGGCAGTCTATAGAAAGAACAGTGGGAAGTCTTAAATGTTTTTCTCTATCAGTCTTCTATAGTCCAGATTTTGGGCAGACCTGCCTTACTCAATTGTACCTAGATAAGCTTCTACAGATTCTGCTGTTTTTTTCAACTAATTTACACTAGTTTGATGTATGAATGATATTGCATCTTGATCAGAAGACAAACTGTATTTCTTTATGTGTGTTTCTCTGTAAGGAAAGACAATCTATGCACTCCACATGAGGTGCTTTGTACAGCAGCTTCCCTGGAGAATGCATGCAAACAGACTTCAAAGGCTTTTACACCTGCTGATGGTATATCTATCTCTGAATTAGGGTTAAGGTATGGAGCAAAGGCTAAGAAGGTGAGAGACAAAATAAATGTCACTTCCACCAGGTAAACCTTGGCATATCTGTCAGTCTGCAGAACCCAGCAAAGTGAGCTTTCTTTTGGAGCTATTGCTATTGTGGCTCAATACTAGTTCCCTTATTCATATGTGAGGTTTTTTTACGTCTGAGGATATAGGGGAGGATCTCTAATAGAAAACAGAGAAATAGATTCTTTCATGAGACTGCTTGACTTAAAACCCACCAGTAAAGCAGTCTTTCAGTCAGAACTTTCAGTGAACAAATTATCTTGGGCTTGTAAAAATAAACACACAAAGTTCAGAGCAGTTGTGGTGGATAATATGAACCACTTGGAGAAGTTCTTATCAAAATAAAGCTGAAAATTTTCTCCCCAGTAAAAGTTCACTAAAGTAGAATGCTATCTCTTTATTATTGCTTGTATTCTAGGCAAGGGTAGAGGGTGGGATTGATTGTTGGGATAGACAGTCAGACCTTAATCTGAAGATCCATTTTTCAGCTCAAAATTTTATGATACCTAATACACCACAACCAAGTTTAACACAGTTTGTAATATTTGGTTTATGTAAAGATATATTTTTAACATCTGAAACTAAAGAGTATTAGAAAATTAATGCTTATCATGACTTTAAAGTCCTTTCTGGGAATTGGTCATAGAATGATGGTTTATTCCCCAAATTAAACAGAATATGTAGAGTCCTTTTCTAATTCAGCATATAAAATACCATAAGTAGGACCAACCAATACAAATAGGGCTCTTTGCATTCTTTCGAGGAAAGATCCAGTGGTGCGTGTGGAACTGGTAATTACTACATGATGTAATTTCAAGAGACTGGCTGACCTTGCATTTGAAGTGTCCCTTCTTCATTCAGTGTATACTGGAGTGACAGACAAATTCTTTAGGCTTTATTTAATTAAGTATCAAGTTGTTTTTAATTGGCCTTTGAAATTAATTGAACAATTAAATCTGTCCTGACCCTCTTCCATCTGCCAAAACACTCAAAAACACATTCTGGAAAGAGTAAATTCCACTGTATTCTTTTTACTCCCTTTGCTTGCGGGGAACAAGATAGTGAAGCAGGACTACTTGCTTACATGTCCTGGGTTCTAAGCACTGGGATAAACTGCTGTTGGTTAGTGGTAATTTAAGATACCATATTACTAATTTTTTGATATGAAAATGCAATATATACAAAAGATTATTATTACATCAGTAGTGAGAATTAATAACTTTTAAAATGTATATTTTGAAGATGAATAGAGAATTCACAAATCTAGTAAAGTAAAAAATAGCTTAACATCACTGACTACTTCAGGAAACAATGGCAGGACTTTTGTATTATTGCTAGAAAGGATCGTCTAGCAACACTGCAAACACAACAGTTTTGCAATATGAATTTTTGCAAGAAGAGAGTTACATTCATGTTTTTCCAGACTACTATTTCACTGGAGTTAGAGAGCAAGCTAAACACTTGCAAATGATGGCTGCTGAGAGGGTGTTTGGAAACTTGAGAATGTATATAGTGAGCAAAAATAACTAATAGAAGGTTAAGTCATCTGCATGAAGGTAGTGCTCCTTTAAATTAGTACAGAGGTAGATTAAAAAGCACAAAATGAGTTTAAAATGAGTATAAATCTTTACAAGGCATAGCTAAGGTGGAGAAATTACTGTACTTTCATCCTGATTTTGTATGTTCATTGTGTGTCTCTGTGTCACTGTCTACTGAAAGGGAGAAAATAATCTCTTCACAGATAAGAAAACCCCAAGATCCATTCTTCAGTAAAAAAACAAAACTAAAAATTTGCATTTTCAATCAATTAAGAAATAACATAATTTTTGGAAATAGCTAGTTTAAGGAAATCAAGTTCATAGTCAAATTAAACATATCATAACAAACAATATACAAATTTAGGCTGTTTAACAAATTTCTCTTAAATGCTAATTTTGGTGAGAACAATATTGAGTAACAGTATATCCCTCTCCCTTGAACATGCAAGTTCACCCTTGCTTTTGTCACAAAACTATGATAGGATGAAACTGAACTTCCAAACAGCCCCCGAGTGTGAATTCTTCATCTACCCTCTGCCCCATTTCTGGAAAACATGTCTACTGAAGGAAGAACTTGAAAATGTTAAAGATTAACTACCTGTTTGGATGCTATTAAAGTTTTGTAAGTGTTAACAATGTGAGTAGACATGTGCATGAATATTAGAACACCTGCTGATTCAGTGGACATGAACTGAGGTGTTGAAATGGCCTGCAAGTGAAGAATGGGAGGACCCTCTAGTTCCTAAAGAAGTGCTTCCTGAAAGAAAACATAAAAAATATTAGAAAGTATGTGAATCAACCTTCTGGGCCCAAAGATGATCTGGACATGGTAAGAAAGCTCTCTTCATGGGATGCCTTAAGAACCACGATGGATTCACTTTACAGGGGACTCATCTACAAATTTAACTTTACATTTTTTTGCGCTCTGGCCAGCTTTTTTCAGCTGATGCTAAAGCCTCAACTTTGGTTTTAGTATGTTTGAGAACAACAAAAGTTTACCAAAAGACCAGCTCAGAAGATGCTTTAGCACAAGTCTGACATCACAAGGCTGTCTAGGTTTGGTAAAATACAAACATGAAAGTTATGATATCCTAAGATTTATACTCAAGCTACTGAAATTTATCTCTCAAGAGGGGAGTTTTTACAATTTCTCGGTACTGTTTCGACTTCAATGCTGTCACAAGAACCTCACACTACGAAGGTGTCCTGTTGACACTAATAAAGTCTGCCACCCCTAGCTTTGGAGGGACAGACTGTTGGAGTCTGCTGTGATGCTGTTTATTTCCATTAAAGTGAAGAAATTAGAAATGCACAAGGCTAACTAAGGACAAGTATAAATGCTCATGATACTAATTTTTCCACTTTACACATTTTAACTTCTTCAGATGGCAGCATTTCAAAATTACAGGCGAAAAAAATCATGTTAAAATCCTTTGAGAATGAATGGATTCCTAAGCCTAATGTTTTTTTCTCTCTAGTCTTGTGCTTGCAAGAATTCTAAAATTTTACCCATTTATAGACTTTACTTTCTTAAATGAAAAAGCACAACCTTCTCAAAACCTCTCCTAATCATTTCCCTTCAAAATAAAGGATCCACTGCACACATCTGGTCTGACACACCAAATTCCAATTTGATGTCATTCAAATGGAGATAAGTGCTGAAGACAGAAGTGTTTAGAGAAAGAATACAAATTCAGCTTTCCTATCCATATATCCCCTTCTGTCTATAAAACCTGGAACAAGGCATTCATTATATCCCTTGACTATTCAGAATTAAGTGTCATCTTTATTTGAAAGTTACTTTACTGAGAATAAACATTTTGGAAGTTAGAGAATAATTTAGATCTTACCCCACCATTCTATTTATACACGTATTTAAACTGACATTGCAGCTGAAGCACTCAGGCAGGGGTCTATTGTGACCTTGTTTCTGGCATTTGCTAATACGTCATCATTTGATGGGATACTAAAGATTTTAACAGAGAAAAAAACCTCAGCACATTTGGTATAGAATTTATAGCAATACTATGTAATGCCTCTTGGTTTGACAGTTTGAAAATCATTAAAATACGCTCAGGAATGCCAAAAACTTTCACAGCTTCAGTGCTTCCCTTGGAAGTTTATACATTATATTTCATAGGTCGGTGATGGTGTTTAAATGTCCTTTTAGGTTTCTGTAGGAAAGTACTGAATGAAGACATTATATGATCTCTAGTTGCCTTCCATTCAGTCAATGAAAAATGTGTATGAAGAGGTTCTGTTTGGTTTGAATGACATGATTTTCTTCACTAACATGATTAGTGGTAACTAGTTATCAAATTCTTAGGTTTGTTGGAATGGACCATGGTTGGAAATCTGGTAGACTGTATAATAAATGACATCTTGTTTCTGCCCTTTTCTGGAATCAGTTTAGCTCATGATTCATAGCAAAGGGAAATACAAAATGGCAAGAGGTATTTAAACTCATGGCTTTGGGTTTCACTTCCTGAAATTTAGTGCAGGTTAATGCAGTTTTACCTGGTATTACAGTGTGAAGACACAGCCCTGGTTTTCCTGATTTGTAGTATAACTCAGGCACAAATAACTCCTGATTACACAGTGCATGTGTATGTGTATGTTTGTGTGGAAATGAGCAGACTGTGAAGAACTCAGCTAGTGTTTGAAGTTAGGTTTATTACTTGTCAAGTAAGACTTTCCAGACATAGACTTTTCAAAATACAACAAACAGGCATTTTAAAGAAGATGTTGGCATGAATATCTTAATTCTTATCTTATATCTCCTTCTTGACAGAGTCTAACAATGGTAGAGTATGATTAACTCTAGTTAGTTTAACTGGTAGTTTAACTGTTCATGTAGGATTATCTTTGACAAGTGACTGGTGTCTCAGAAAAAAAAAATAAAATCTAAGGTAGAGATGATTGAAGTGGAAGAGAATTTTTCATTTTCTAATTTAGTGAATGAACTTTCCTGTTTTGTTCCAGATTTACAGCACAAAAATAAGATATTTTTGGTCAAAACCATATCAATATTTCTTGTGAACAGAAACAAATGATCTCCCAAATACTAACATCTGGTCTAGACACATGCTTAGATTTCACAGCATATCCATTTAGACATTGCACCTCCATATGATGTCTGAAATGACTAAGTCTGAACCAGGATTTTTGAAGAAATGTATGTGCAAAATGAAGTGTACAGAGAAGTTTGAAAACATACACTGTTTCTTGAAATTTCTCATGATTTACATTTGTTAAATATCCTCCATTACCATTTTGTCTCTAAAGTAGCTTTGTGCAAGTGATCACATAGGAAAGTCTTTTCTTTTTGATTTTTTAACACTGTAAGACATTAAACCTTTTTTTTTTCTAGGAAAAAGATGAAGTTGTGTTACTAAGATACCTTTGAACATTTCAAGAAGTGGTGCTGAGAGCTGCAATGCCAGCTCAATCAAAGCTCTGATATTTGCTGCTATCTCCATGCATGTTTACAGCAGCTGACATATGAAAAGCCAGGGAATAATTTGAGTTTGCAAGCTATGAAATAAGTCCATTTTGGATCTGAATCTGGCTGTCAAATCACTTTGGTGGGTTAATCTGACACAAAATGAAAGCATACAAATGAAAGAAACTTTTGGCAAGCCTGAAAAAAATGGGTGCACATCTGCAAGGCAAGTGATTAGCTTAGTAGTGTCCTTTCAAAAATCACCCAGGAACCCCTTCCCCCACCCATACAGAAACTAGTCCTTTTTGTTCTTCAAATGTTTATTTATAGGATTATAATGGGGAAATGGAGGAGAGAGGGCTTGTGACTTTGATGATAGTGAAAGTCTGTACCCCCCAAACGTGGTAAAAGAGATAAACATTATAGGATTAAATAGGCATGACAAATTTGTGTTTCAATTGGGGACACCATTTCAGGCAGAGATTTTTCTTTGGCTGTCAAAGTAGAAGATTTAACTAACACATTCTGCAAAGGAAAAAAATCAGCAAAGGTGGGAGGTTTTTCACTGCAAACTGATTGATTGCCCTTGGAAAACAAAGGAAGGAATTGTGTGCTAGGGGGCGGTGCTGCTCCTCTTCGAATGTCTTGTGGTCTCATGTCTTACACTGTTATTTACTTTTACACAGTCTCTCAGACCAAAGTGTACAGAACACTGTATATCAGGGAGATGAACATGTATTTGGGGGTTTGGACGCAACATCAGCACAAAATTGCTTGCTAGCAGTAAAATGTACTTTCTGCTCAATATCTTGCTTACTCTTTGAAAAGAGCGGAGAAGGCAGAAGAGGAGGAGACATGGCAGGTGGAAATGTATCATAGGTTATAAAGAACATGAAGTTCAAAAAATGAGGGCTGAAAAGATCATATTAGTAACCTTAATTATACTAAAGGATTAATCTTTCATTTTGTGGTGGCTATGAATGGCCACAGGACCAATAAATGTTTTACCCTAAATAAAAAACAACGTCCTACTCCCAAGTTATGTGTATCAAACGTCAGTCTCTCTGGAACATTGCGCCCGTGCCACACTTACTGCAACAAGAAGTTGTTGAGCTAGAACAGAACTTGTGAACAAACATGTCTATGTTGGATAAGGTGAATTATTTCACAAAAGCAAAAAAAAGATGCATAAGAAATATCCTGTATTCTACGTCCTCTGTTTCCAATGACTGCTAAGAGAGAAAGAAGTCACACATTATAGGTTGCAGCACTTCTAAATGAATTCAATGGACAGTATACACTGAGTGGGGACTTATCTTGCCTGCCTTACTGCTGATTTGAACTTGGCTAATTGCCCTTCATTATCACAGACAGAGAGATCAGAAAGAAGCAAAACTGCAGAGAAGATGCCCTGTACACCCTGAGGATGCTTGTCCAGCTTGCATGGAAACGCAGGCAGAAGACTTCTGGAGGTTGCTCTCCCAACCTCTGGTTTTACAGCAGAAATAAACTTTTTTTACCCCTTACACAATTATCCTGTAAGCCACAAAATAAAGGGAGACAGAGCCTCAGAAAAAGGCTTAAAGATAAAAAGTCATTGAGTTGGTTCTACTCTGAATCATGACAAGCCCATGTGCCAAGTTAATTAAAATGAAAGTACTAAGCAGACTCTCCTGTCATACTCATAAAAGATCCTCATTGCATATCATTCCCTGTTGAACAAAACATTTCATGTAAGTATTAAATTCTACAATTATTTTCCAGACTTTCTGTTTATGGAGGTAGTGGGAAAGTAAATAGGTTTAGCAGGGCTTTTTTTGACATGTCACTTAAGAATTGGATGAACTTTAATTTGTACAGATTTAGTTATCATAGCACATTACCTCACCACACCACTACTGAATCCATTGTAAACCTTCCTCTGTTCTCTTGTTTATGTGGCACATCCTCATTTTTCTTACAAGGACATACTGCAGCTTCAGATTCTCTTGAAGATGGATGCCTAGTATGCTGGATATAGTACAGCTGAAACCATGATCAGTGTAAGAAAATAATAATGTGTCCATTGTTACGCTGGTTACAGCACAAAATCATAGGTAAAACATTAAATAGAAAAGAATATACCTCCCTGAACAAACTAGACAGAAATAATTGGACAGGGGTATTTCAGGAGAGGCATGATATTTTTTTAATCAGCTCTCCTTTCAGATGTTTTTCTGCTTGCTTTTCTTTGTTTGCTGCACTGGGTGTCTTGCTCTCGCTGTCTCCTGTTTCATTTCACTTGCTTTTACTGGGCGAAATGGGGTGGGGAAAAAAAGAAGGATAATATAAGGTTTTGCTTTCCCTGAGCATTGCTTTGTGTCTTGGCGGGGGGTCTCACTGTCTTTTTGCAGAGTTTTTAAGCTCCTCTTAACATTTTCCTTTAAAGAGGAAGTGTGTGAGAAAGTTATTATAGACAACAAGAAGAAAAAAAACTCAAAACACTGTATCCTGACTGTGAACTTCACTTCACCTACAAATCTTCTGTATGCAGCTTTCCTGAGAATATATAATAGTGGTTGTGTGGGATTTCTTTGGTTTTGAGGAGCGGACTGAAATATCTGGAAAATGAGCCCTAAAACTTGGTCAACATCTTTTGAAATTTCTATGCCTGTGTGTCAATCAAGATTACTCATATATTTGAGAATTTCATTATTAAACCAGAATTTGTCAGAATAAATATCAGGCAGTGCTCTGAATGTATAATTAAAAGAGAAATGGAGACAAATAATGGCAGGATATGTCTATAATAAAACTTACCTAACTAGTCATATCTAAGACCCTGAGAGAAGTTAAATTCCACCTTATGATTTTAAAGATAGAAAAGCACACAGTTTATCTGCTTTTAATGGAAAGATTGATATTTGGTTTTATGGTCAGTGATGATATTTAAATTTTTTTTTTAATTTTAAATTCTACTTTCTTTATCTTTTCTTAGAGAAGTTGTTATCTTGGTTATTTTTGCAAATGCTTTATAAAACGGGTTTCACAGACTTGAAGCAAGTCAACTTACTTTTTTCTCAAAACTAGGGTTTTTGAGGGTGTGTTCTGAAACTTCATTTTTCAAAAAATAGTGTTTATTAAAGGCCAGGTTGATGACTGCTTTAAAAAAACAATGTACAAATCACCCAGACCCTATTCCACACTTAGCAGGAATCTTACTTGGAGACCTGGATCTGTAAGCTGAGTTGACATGGATAGCTCTGCGTCAAAATTCAATATCTGACTGGCTATAGTGTGCTTTCAGTTCTCAACCTGGGACAGCACCAAGAAGCTGTGTGCAGCTTTGCATGTGAATAGAATAAATAAACTAGTGCACTAAGGCATACCTGTCAGCTCTTGAATGCTCTGTAAACAGAAGCACTTGTCGAGGAAGAATACGTTTTAAAATTCTCCTAAAAATTGCTGGACTGGAAAGGCTTCACAGAGCAAGAGAATAGGAAGGCTTGGAGGGTTGTAACACAAACAGGTGTCACTTTCATATGTCTTCAAACTCACACTTCAGTAACCTTGTTTTCCTGATAAGCTTGTGACCCTAATGCAAATAAAAAGCTAGGCTCAGAGTCATATTCTTGACTAATGTCTTAGTTACAGCAGTTAATTTTACCTTCTTCAATGATAAAATAATTAAATGTCTTTGAAACAAGTCCACAGTCAATCTAGCAATTATTCTTTTGACTGACACTTAAGTTAAACTTGATGATATATATCAACTTCCTGCCAGGGAAAAGGGGTTAAAAGAATAACCATGTAAGGAAAAAATACACAATAAGTAAACAAAACTGAAGCAACAGACGTCCACTGTTATTAAGCTAGAAAAAGATCCAAGGTTAAAGTGACTTCTGCAACACTACACAGCCAAGAAATTTCCACAAATAACTGTAGCCAGTAGAGAGTTTTCCATGCGTCAAAAATTCTCTCATATTCAGTGAATATTGACATTGCTTTCATGTCAAATGTGTGACCTGCACAAAGGAAGCATGCATATGTATACAGGGCCTTCTTATGTGCTGATACACAGATTTTGCCTGCAGCATTTGACTTGGAGCAAAGGATTCCTGTGAGGTCTCTGTCCTCTGGAGAGTGTCTCCACTGGATGCTTCCAGAAGAAAAATGTTACTTGCTCCTGGGTGCCAGAGCAAAATGCAGCAGTGAAAGAATGGAGCCTAGAGAAATAAGTACGGTCTTAGGGTTTAAATGAACTGAGTATCTGTCACTTGTGTGCACAGTCTTATACAAGTTATATCAGAAATGAATGAGAAAAGGTAATATAAGCCTCAGGGCAGCATTTAGGATGTATTGGAGAATGCAGATATATGCCTTGGACACCCTCAATTTCACTGACACACCATCAAAACACCAAGGACTTCTGTCCACAAAGGTAGGAGGAGGGAACAAAGTGACTTCAGATTCACTTTGTCGTCAATTTATTAAATGTATCTTCTTATAAGGACTATATAAACAAGGTTGGAAACAGGGCATTTGTGCTATGAGAGAAAAGACTGTTTAGGTTTCATCATCCCTGCAGAGATAGAGTAGTTAAAAGACAGTTATTGCTATTTTGGTGCCCTTATTCTCTTCCCAGGCCTTCACAAGATGCACTTTTAGTCATGTTAGAGCACTTAAATTTATGTTTAGGGTCTGTATTTCCTCAGGCCTAGATCCCTCTTCTGATATACCTTCTACTTGTTTTACCGTGAGAATGTGTCAAATTCAACTACCAAGGATGTGACACAAATTTGCAATTCACAGAATAAGTGACAATATATTTTAGTTTTGAATATTATTTTGGACCTAGCAAGCATGAGATTCTAAGTGAAACTAATATGACAACAGCAAACATTTTATTTTTTCTTCTTTAGAGCAAAGAAAGAATTCCACTTGAATGTATGCATGGAATACATACAAAGATTTTTGCTATTGATTTTAAATTACCTGTTTGAGTGGAATATGATGTAATAACTTTAAACACAAAACTTGAAATGTGTAATGTTAGAAATCTATTTTAAAGAGAGCAAAATGTCATGTTTCAGATTTTCTTATTACTGTGTATTTGAGTTGTATTGAAGTTAATATGAGACA